TGCCCTGAAACAAAGACCTGTCTTTTAAATGCCAATATTGTTCTATTCATACCATGTTTTTTTAAAGCATGGAAATAGCACTATCACTGAGGAATTAAAGTTTGAGGTCCCCAAAAACTCACTGGAAAGACATATAGTGGCTTTGAATAGGTGGTAGCATGCTACTAGTATAACAATCAGAAAAGAAGCCACCACATGCCAGGATCATAGAAGAGTGAGGGAATAGTCCGTGTAGAGGGACTGCTGTTCTCCACTCACATCCATGGAACACTGAGCTCTAGAGAAGTCCCTCAGCAAGGACAAGAATTTCACAGGATGAACTAATTGTGTATGAGTTGAAATCTACCCCATTGGATGAAGTATCCACATTAATGAGATCACAGATCATCGAAGTAAGTAATGAAAAATGCATCAAATACTTTCTGGAAACACTTGTGCTTTTGTTAGACTCATAGCCAAAGTTGAGAGTCCTTTATGTTAATCTCTTTAGAATACTGAAACACAGCAGCTCTGAAATGTTGTTACCTATCATGCCAGAAAGTGCTACTAGCTAATCATTGTATTTAAGTCCTGTGTCAGGTGAGATTTTTATTTTTGTCAGTAGCCACTGCCAAACATACAGGATAAAGAAAAGGCGAAATGTGCCCTAAAGGGACATACAATAAAGTTTCAAATTTAAGGGTGAGTTCCTAAGCATGTAAGAGCATTAAGAAATTCATGAAGGAATCAGGTAAGTTTAGCTTTAGTTTTTGAGGAAGTTAATTCAAAAGAAGGGATGAAAAATTTTGGACAATGCTATATAAAGCAGTAGCTTATTTTTTCTGGAATTAGTTGGTAAGAAATAGTTAACAATTCTCCTCCCAAATAAGGCTAACATGGTCATAGACTATGAGGCAGAATAGGTGGGTGATGTGAAAAGCCCTCCCTTGAAGGAGCCCTGCAAATACAGGTTTCTTGTGGCTAGAGGAGTTTGGTATTTGCTCTGTGAGCATATTTTGTCAATGGATTCTCTTTTTATGAAGATCATAATTTGAGGAAGGCTTAAGATTTTAGCTGGTTTGCTTTTGGTTAGTTAACTTGTAACTTATTTCAGAACTTCATTTTTGTGGTTATTCCCTCCAATGAGCAGGCCATAACTCACTCTACCCCCTTAGTAATAATTTTTAATGAACTGCTGTGTACAAAAAGCATCCCTTAGGACAGGGCTTCTTAACCTTTATGGTGTCCTGGCCTCCTTTGGCAGTCTGGTAAAGCCTATAGAGCCCTCCAAATCATGTTTTTAAATGCATGAACTAAGATCTGTGTCATGATAAAAGATGCAGTTACATAGAAATAGTTACCAAATACAAACAAACAAGTCCAAGGCTGCCATGGCTGTTCATTTACCTAGCAGCTCGTCTTTTTACACTAACCATCTTCAGATGGTCCACAGATAGCAGATAGGTAGTTAAATTGCTGGGCTGTACTTGAAGGCTTTATAGTTTGATAGGACTGTTCTAGCCTGCAAAATCCAGGGTCACCTTTAACATAATGATGAGGCATCAGAGTAGGACTTATATTAACACAGTAAAGTTTTCAGACAAAACATTTTATTTTAAAAATATAGATGAAGAGATTAGGGCCTACCTGAGAAATAAGTAAGCTCTGCGTCTGCTCAATTGATTTAAATGCCATATGAGGACCAGTGAAAGGGCCTGGGCATACTAAGCCTAGAAAAAGATAAGACTTAAGAAAAATACAGCAGTTGTGTTCAAATACTTTAGATTTGACCTGCTTGGCACCAAAGGGCAGAACAGAGAATGAGTAGTAAAAGTGGTAGAGTCAGATTTAGGCCCAATACGGGGAAAAACTTCCTAATGATAATGGAGTCTCCCCCCTTACTGGATTCTGTGAGCAATAGGTCTTTGGCTATATTGTAAAGATTGTTACTTTTAAGATAATGGTTAGACTAGATAGTCTCTAAGGTGCCTTCCAATACTGAGATTCTATAAAGCAATTAGTAATGAATCTAGTCTTAACAATTGTATAACAATTTGACAAGTGGTTTTCAGGGGAATCTTTTAATTTTTTAAAAAATCATTTGATCATGGCTATATAAATATGGACTGTAAATGAGAGCAGTCCCATTTCTGTCTGGATCAGGTCAAATGATTGCATTTTTGTAGGATTTTCATCTGTATTGTAGTTTCAAATTTCTGCTCCATAGGGAATATGTATTATTGCTTTACAATATGAAAAAAGTCTTAGCAGAAGACTGACTAGAAGACCAATTTTTTGATAACAAAACTGTAGGTATGATAGATTTCTTGAATCTGTGTACATAAAATATTTGATTTGTGCTTTCATCCTATTTGCAGCAATGTTTTGTTTTGTGGGGAGTGGTGGGGGTGGGGTGGGTTGGGGGGAGACCTCTGTGTCTTAAAGTTTCTGAAGTGGACATTGAGTCAGTCAAGAAGCATCTATTATGTGCCAGGCACTGTTTTGAGAAAGACTTTGAGTCTGCTTTTGATTGCTATAGTCAAGTTATGACTAATATTTCATGTTCTGTAGGAGTTTTAACTGTTGTTTTTCATGTTAACATGGTGTTCTGGAACTGTTATTTCTGTTCACTCTGCTTGCGGTTACTCTAGCTCACTATACAAAACCTTTTGAAGTATATATATATAAAATGGAATAAACTTTTAGATATTGAACTGGAAAAAAAAGCATTTTCATTCTAAGATATTTTTATCTTAGACTAAAGTTGGTAAAGCTAATTAAGTAAGAGCAAGAGGGCCATTTCTTTTTGTATGACTTTTAAAATTTATAAGTAGTTAGTTATTGAATTTAATGGGTTGTATTCGCCAAGTATTAAAGCTTCCTTGCTTTTCCTTATATACTGAAAAGAAGCTTTGGGAGTTGTCAGGTTATAGCTTTTTATTAAGGTAGGTGTGGGGCACTCATTTCATTCTGGGGCTTGGCAAGACCCTAGGATTCAGTTCTAGGATCTACCCCAACAGTTTAAAAAATAATCTCTGGGGGAAGTTTTCTGACAAAATCAGCACATTCTCTGGGTTCTTTCTAGAGCAGGGTGAACTTGGGATGGGGAAAAATACATCATTATTTCAGTATAACTGATTTCTTTTGTAATCCGATGTATCCTATTTTATGCATTTAAAAATATTCTGAGAAAAAGGGTCCATGACACATAAAAGGTTAAGAATCCCTTTTCTAGAGCAAATCTTTAGAACCATGATTCCCCTCAGGATGCATAAGCAAGGACTTACTAACAAGAAGCAGCTGCAAGCCATAATCTTTTATAAATAATATACTTCATAACTTCTGAGGGTTTTGATGAATTTTGGAGTTAATGATTTTATTTTAAAAATTCAACTGGATAAAAAAAGAACCTTTTTTGAATTAACTAAGCATGCAAAAAATGCAAGACAATAATGAAACTCGTTCAAGTGCTTATTGAAAGTCAGAACTTATAAAACACACCACTGATTACTAGAAAGTAGAAAAAATTGATTATGATTTTTATGCCAGTATTTTAAATTATAGCCACATAAAGACCATCAAAATGATCCATTTAGATTATATGCCTATTCTCTGTACACTGGAGCCCAAGAATGTCTTTATCATTATAGATGAAAACAAGAGATCTTTCTGGTATTCTCAAAAATAACCTATTATAGGTGAAGTCCAGAGTGGCCCCACCTTAGAGCAAATTCCGTGTGATAACTACAGTCGGGTTGTGTTATAGTTAACAAGGCCAATAGATGTATTACTTCAGAACTGTTTTTCTTAGGACATGGAATCATGAGGTCATAGATTTAGAGCTGGAAGGGATCTCAGAGGCCATCTAGTCCAAGGGACTTGACTTGCTCAAGGTTACACAGGCAGTAAGTAGCCCAGCTGGGATTTGAACCCAGGTCCTCTGACCTCCAAATCTGTTTTCTTTTCACTGTATCATGCTGCCTCCTGACTGATTATTGTTAATGTATTCTAAATTAGTAATGTGACTTCAGTGTAAATTTCAAAAAATTTCATATGATCTTTTGTAACTAGTTATGATGATATTAAAGACATCAAATGCTAATTCTTTGACTCTAGTTACTGTATGAAAAGAATTGTTATCTGTGTATGGTGGCACATGCCTGTAATCCTAGCTCCTGGGGAGGCAGGCAGAAGCGATGGATCTCTTGAGCTCAGGAGTTCCGAGCTGCACACTAGACTAAGGCAGCTGGGTGTCTGCACTAAGTCCAGCATCAAGGGGGTGAGCCTGTGGGATCTAAGGAGGGTGGACCAACTAGTCCAGGATAGAAATGGAGCAGGTGAAAGCTCCCATGCTGATCAGGCTGGGATCAGGCTAGGGAGAGGACAGCCTGTGAACTTCTGGTGTGGACAAGAAAGGGAAACTCAAAGGCACTGCATGGAGTCCATGGGTTAAGTTAAGTTAGACACTTACAAGTAAAAGGTAAGTGCATACACATTTCTTTTTTAAAATTTTTATTTTTTTATTTCTTTGACAGTAAGAAACAACTGTGAGGTAGATAACTGTTTTTATTGTGTTTTCTATGGAAAAAATGAAAACCGTTGGGTTGACTTTTCTCCCCATATACCCTTTCCTCTCAAAAGAAATCTTTCCCTAGCTTTCAGTGTCTACAAAATTTAACAGATTAACTTGTAATGTTATTTTTTTCAGAAAATATGCATCTTGAATGTTTTTTCTGCCCAGATTTTGCTTTTACAGAACCCTATTTCATCTATTATATCATAAGTTTTTTCACCTTGTAAAATGGAGGAAGAATGGCATTTGAGGCATCTAGAAGTGAACAACAGACAAAATCCAAGGATTCTTCTCCTCAAACCTCCCACAGAATTCCCCTACCCTCTCAGCTGAAAACCTTATCTCATATTTCATTGAAAAAAAATCAAGGCCATTTGCTCAGACCTTCCTCTTCTTCTGAACACTCCATCTTTCCTTTTAAAAAAAGGAAAAAAATGATTTTAGACAATTATTTCTAAATAAAGGTTTATTTGGAACACTATTATAAAGCCAAATTAAATTATAGCAATGTAGCATATCCAGAGATGATAACTATCACCAGTCTCATAAGGCCCTGTTCATGTTGTTAGGCAAACAGTGAATATTTTCCTATTAAGTTTACCTAGTTAAGTGTAACTGATTATGCAAGTGATGATCAGTTGCATATTGAGAAATACCGTCTAACAGGTCTGTACGTTAAAAGGCATATATTTTATGGCACAGTACATGTCTTTAAACCATCGATACAGACAATTTTCTAAACAATATAGTTTCCATTTGGGATAAAAGTACTTAGAATGTAAATCTAAACATGAAAATATAGAGAATGATTTAATGCAGTAAAGCATCTGAGGTTAACTCCATTCCTAAGTTCAAAATTTTTTATAGTTAACAACTGCACCTAAATGCTACACTTAGAGGCAAATTATTACAAAGTCCATATGACTGCAATAAGGTGACAGATCCATTGTGGATGTTCCTAGGTTGAAGAACTGTGCAGCACCTGTCCAGAAACAAAATATAAAAGTATGGGGTAACTGTATAGATACAAACAGATTTTATCTTTGCCCAAAAGATTCAGAATAGTTTTAGAAGATCCATACACTAAGATGAGTTCAGATTGGATCTGTTTAATGTAAAATAGCGAAGTCCACAGCTATCTCATGTAGTACCTCATCAGAAGCTTTTAGTGGAACTCTGAAATGATTAGGAGGTGATAACTAGCTGTAAAAATTTTAACCGGCTATTTTACAGGTGTAAACACCCACAAAGTAGTTTAAAAAATGCTGAAAATATCACCCTCTATGAAGAACAGGGGAAATTGTACAGTGATTCTGAATGCGGATGTTTGTATTTCTGCAATAGCCAAGGGGCTGCTATCTGTGTTTTATGTGTAGACCAATCTGTTTCTTGGAGAAAAAGGTTCTTTATGCTCTAGAGGCTAAGTAGTCAAGGGGTGATGAAATATAGTAAAGGAAAACAGAAGCAAGGTTTCATTGAGGGAAAAGAGGGTCTGAGGTGGAAGAAGGGAAACTTGACCCTATCATGGAAAAGGAAAGAGTGCGACACAAAGGGAAGGAAAAGGAGAGCTGTACTATTAGAGACGTACATATCTGAGGTTCTTCCTGAAGAGGACAGACCTAGGTGCTGCTCATTTTCCCAAAAAAATGATGCAGTAGAGCCATAGAAGCTATTAGATAAGCTCATCCACTTAGGGTCAGCAGAAAAATCAAAGAGGAGTAGTTAGTGGAGTCCTTGCAGCTCTTTGTCAACTTGATAGCTACAACAGAGAAGTCACATATGTCTTGCAGAGCAGTTGTGTCTTCCAGAGTCTTGTATCCAACACACAAGAGAAAACTTTCCAAGACATATAAAAAATGTTTCTGATGCATTCATCTGGATACAAATGACACTGCAAGAAAGAACCTAAAAAAGTAGTCAATGATTATGAACTCTTAGGCAGGTCATTTTAGACTATTGGGATAAAAGGAATACAGAAAAGAGGATAGCTTAAGAAGATAGTGTTTGCGAATGAGACTTGAATTTCTACATCTTGGCTTAAAGTACAGGGATGTCACATTCCTGACCAGAGATGGGACTGCATCTAATAAACAGCTGTAAGGATGTATTTTCTGGGTGTCTTGCAAATTTAATCAAAAGGACTTTAAATGAAGAAGGACTGGGGAAGAAGATTCTGTTCCCCACCATCTTCACCTCTTACCCCTAGGTACATATCATAAAGAATAGCTAAAATGGAAGAAGAACAGCATTTGAGGCATCTATCCAGGGATTCATCTCAAATCTCCCACAGAATTCCCCTACCCTCTCAGCTGAAAACTTTATCTCCTATTTCATTGAAAAAAATGAGGCCATTTGCTCAGAGCTTCCTCTTCTTCTGAACATTACATCTCATCACTCAGATGCCTTCTACCATTATCTCCTTTTTCATCTGTCTCACATAAAAAGATGGCCCTTTTCCTTACAAGCAAACCTTTCTACGTGAATGAGTGATCCCATTCCATCCCATCTTCTCCAGCACATTACCCCATCTATCATCTCCACTTCTTACTTCAGTCTCTACCTACTGTCTTGCAAACATGTCCATGTCTCTGCCATCAAAAATCTTTATCAATCCATCCATCCCTACTAGCCATTGTTTCACATCTCTTCTCCCATCAGACTCTTTAGATAAGTCTTTATTGGAATTGTTTCCCTTTGTGTTTTCAGAATTTCATTCTTGAAACTTTCCTATTCTTCTTGAGATATTATCTACTATAGAATTTTAATCCAACAAATGCCTGGATAATTGAATATCTCTCATTGCTACTTTATCATGACTTTGTGTGGCTTGTGATCAGCTTCCCAGACTACCATCCTTGCCACCACCAGGATCCTGAGATCTTTTCAGGGGATCCTTGAGATCAGAACTTTTTCATAATAATGTTTAGAGATCTTAATAACTTAAATATGGTAAATATCAAGATGTAACTCTATAAAAAAGCTTTCTGGAGGGGTCCTAAATAATTTTTAAGAGTGTAAAGAGATCCTGAGATCAAAAGTTGATAACCATGAGTAGGAAGAAAAATATCAGTAGAGCTATCCAGAAATTTGTAGATGAAATCAAGGGGGAAAAAATTTAGTCTTGGATGTCTACATAGAAAATTACAAAATATGGTTAACATATTTTGGGTGAATTAGAGATGCTAATGCAAGGAAGCAAATTTCACATCACAAGTATCAATGAGACTTGGCTCGGTGGACCCATGATTGCAATATGATTCTGGAACAGTATACTTTATTTTAAGAAACCAGGATAGTTATAATTTTTGGGGGGTGAGGTGGGGTAGAATGGGGAGGGGAAGGGTGAAATGGAGGAAAATAGGAGAGTCTATTACAAAGACAGGCTCATCTCACTAAATCCAGGAACCAGAGAGGGAAGGATGGTGGAGATCAGTAAAAAGAGACAGTATTTTCACTGAAGTACACTACAGACCATATGAACATCTACACAGAACCACAGGAATAACCCAGCAAACATCAAAATCCTGGCAAAGAAGTATGATTAAATGATACAGCTGCTCAACCCTTAATTTGCTTCTGTTTTCTCTGGGAAGGAAAATTATCTTTGAACTGAAAAAATGAGAATAAAAATGGCTAATAGGGAGTTAAAATCCCAGTGTCATTAGAAACCTAATGAGAGCTGTCCTTGGTAAGATCAAATTACCAGGTTCAGACCAATTCTTATAACTCAGGGCAACAGAAAGAAGACCTGGTGGATGTGATTGCTGTACCACTCCCAGTGACCACTGAAAGGTCATGGCAAACAGGAGAGATGCCTCAGCCCTAGAGAAGTACAAATATCCTGATTTTCAGAAAAGGGAAAAGAAAATGGCATCTTCAAAATACAGTTCAGGGAGCTTGACTTGGATTCCTGGAAATATTCTACAACATATTATTAAAAGGATATTTAACTAAGGACAACTAAGAAAGGAAAGTGTTCAAAGAGCCTACTTCATCAACTGTAGTTAATTGCAGATAAATTTTTCTCATTTTTGACAGTTACCAGATCAGGGAAATACTGTAGTTATATTTTGGGCAGATCTTAGCAAACCATTTGACAAAATGCTTCATGCTATTCTTGTGGACAGGATACTGCTAGGTTAGATGATAGTATGGTTAGGTGCATTTGGACCTGGTAGAATGGCTGGACCCATTAATGGCTAAATGATGCTGACATCTTGGTAGTGTGCCCCAGACCTGCACTTAGCCTTTTGTTTAAAATGTGTTTTTTTTTAACCAACATTGTGAATAAAGGTATAGATAGCAACCTTATCAAGTCTAATAAGATGAATTTTTAGTAGAGATAAATGGGAAGTTTTATACTTGGTACAAACTTCCTATTTCACAGTATGATATGGATTTAGAAGTGGGGAGGCATATATAGATAGCTGTTTACTTAATAAAAATCTGGGGGAGGTTTTTGAACTGCAAGTTTAATGAATCAGCAGTATGATTTTGTTTTTTTAATTGGACCTGTGGTTTTAACTGGTCGAGGTAAATCCTTGTGAGGAAACACCTGCTCTGCAACTTAAAGTCTTAGAGATTTCCTGGTCTGCTGAGAGATTAAATAATTTGCCCAGGGTCAGAAAGCCAACATGGGCTAGAGGTGGGAGTTTAACTCTCATATTTCTGATTCCCAGGCTAGCTCTGCATTCACAATACCACATGGAATCTTCAACAATTTTATGATGGCCAGAAAAACTGAATCCTATCTTTATTGAAAGGTCATAATCTAGAACCTTTTAGGTTTATAGCAAATTGGTAAGTCATAGCTAACATTAATATCATTGCTTAAAGACTGTAAAAAGATTTACATATATTTCATCTCATTTTTATCCTCACTACAACCCTAGGAGGTAGGTGTTGTCATTATTGCAATTTTATAGATGAGGAAAATGAAGTACAGAGAGGTTTAGTGACTTGCCCAGGGTCACGCAGCTATTAAGTGTCTGAGGTAGGATTTGAGAAAGTCTTCCTCCAAGTCTAGCACTCTATGCTTTGTGACATCCAGGTGCAGGCTTGGGTGGCATGGTCACACAGCCAGTATATGGCAGAGGCAGTTCTTTAACCAGTTCTTTCACCTCCAAGGCTGGCCCTCTATCTACTTAGTATGTCTTAGGCTACAAAATGAAAACTAGTATCCAGCATTGAGACTTGGCCCTGGTCAGACTGTATCTTTTTCAGGCCTAGGCATCAAATTTTAGGAAGGACACTGAGTAGCTACAGAGTATTTGGAAAGAGGTAACCAAGATTTGGGTGGGCTGTTAAACCATGGCATATAGGGAGAAAGTGAAGCAACTGGGGCTGTATATCTTGGAAAAGAAAAGCCAGTTTAATTTCTTAAATTATGTGAAGTACTGTCACATGAAGGATGCATTAGACTTGTTCTGTCTGGCCCTAAAAGAAAACTAGGAGCAAGAGGCAGAAGGTCTGAAGAGGGAGATCATAGGCTTAATATACAATGAAAAACTCTGTAACAATCAAAGCTATCCCAAAGTGGAGGGGCTGCCCAAAATGCAGTGGGTTCCTCTTCACTAGAAATTATCACCCAATGGCTACGCACCTGTCAGGAATGCTGTCGAAAGAATTCTTACTTAAGGCTGTTAGGCTACATGTCTCCTGAATTCCTTTCCAACTCTTGAGGTTCTGTGCTTCTATGATTCACAATGAACAGCCATCAAATTGAAATAATATCTATTTCATAGTTTACCTTTTCCCCAATTTCATTATATGGATTACCCGGGGAATAGAGGAATTTCTTGAAATTTCTCCATTTCATTAGGTCTTCCACATAAGAGCTAAAAAACATCAAAACACCCTGATAAACTTAATTTACTATGCACACAGTTAAATCCTTTTTCTCCCCACAAAAATCAGACTTGTGAGTATATTCCTGTTTTAGACAGCATGCTTTCTACACGTGTATCTCTTTATTAGTTGAATTAGATGATCTATAAAGGCCATTCCTACTCCAAAATCCAACAATTTTTAGTGGATCCTTGTTTTTGATAGTATAATGGAGTATAACAGTTCAGTAAAAATTTTAGAAACCCTAGGAACTCTGGAGTGAAATAAACTTACAAATGACAGGCTATTAAAGGCACTTTACTTTGGGTACATTTGATAGGCTAAATTTAAAATATATTCTTCACTAGCAAATGCTTCTTAAATTTAAAATATATTTATGTATATTTTATATACACAATACTTCACAGATCTGTGATACTTCTGGTAGGGGCATGCCCTCCACTGATACAAACTACAGAGGCTCTATGTGGCAGAGCCTTCTTTTTGGAGTTGCTGTGGTCACAGTCTTTAATACATGCTGGCAAACCTGGGCATGAGCATCTCCCACTTTAGCTCCTATATTCAAAGCCTTTTCAGACTGGTAGGACCTGATAGAGCTTGTCCTTGATTAGTACACTCTCTAAAAGCTCAGTGAAATCTTCATACAAAGATGAGGCAGAAAAGGATTTTAGTGATGTGAATTAAAAATCAATGCTTTTAAATTCCCCTCTGATAATGATAAAATAGAGGAAAATAAAAACTTTTGTGAAAAATAGCTTTTCACCTTATTTTAACAACTATACAGCTTAATATGTGTAAAGTCCTGGCCTAGGTATTAGATTTACAAAGACAGAAACTAAATAGTCCCTGTCCTTAAGGAGCTTATAATCTACTAGCAGAATATTCCTTGTATACAAGTAATTAAATATAAGTACTACAAAGTAATTTCAAGAGAGAGAGAGAATATTAATAAGTGATGGGATGATTAAAGGCCTCCTGTAGAAGGGAACCTCACCTGGGCTTTGAAGGAATCTAGGGGTTTTAGGAGGTAGGTGAGAAAACAGTGTATTCTAGACACAGGGCCACCTGCACAAAAGAAGAGAGATGAAAGATGGAAAGTTAGAAAGACGGAAGGAAACAGCTAACAGAATAATCTGCCTAGTATGAAGTGTTTATGAAGGAAAGTAATATGAAATAAAACTGGAAAGGTAGGTAGAAGCCAGAGTATGGAAGGCTGTAGGTGACAAGTTAAGGATATTGTGTTTTATCGTATAGACAATAGGAAATATCTATTTGACAGCTGTGTAAAGGATGGGTGGAAGAAGTATAAAACAGAGGCAAGGATGGGCTTGGGGGAAAATATGAATTCCATTTTGGATATGTTGAATTTGAGATGCTTATTAGACATTTAGGTAGAAATGTCCAACAGGCAGTTACAGTAGCATGAGGATTGAGAGTTCATGAGAAAGATTTGGGTTCAAAACAGAAATATGGGAGTCATAAGCATGGATGAGATCATCAAGAGAAGAGAAGGTGGCATAGGACAGTGCCTACATATACTTAGGGGATGAGAACATGATGATTATCTAGCAAAGAGTACTGAAGAATGGTCAGACAGGTTCAAAAGAGACCTAAGAGAAATCATGGAAGGAAAGAACATCTAGATGGCTGACAACATCAAAAGCTACTAAGAAGTCTGGAAGATGGAGGACTGATAAAAGGACATTGGATTCAGGATTGAAGAGATCACTGCTTACTTAGGAAAGAACAAACAATTTTAGTCAGGTAGTGGGGCCAGAAGGCAGAATAATATGGATTAAGAATTGAGTGAGAAATGAGAAAGTAAAGGCAATGAGCATGGGCAATCTTTTCTAGGAGATTATGAAAGGAAAGAGAGGTACAGAATAATAACTTGAGGGAATAGCAGGGTCAAATGAAGGTTTTTTAAGGATGGGAAATGCTTGATAGCCAGAAAGCAGCCAATAGATAAAGAGAAACTAAGGCTGAGAGAGAGGGGCCTACATATGAGGAGAAAGGATGAAGAGAACAAGTAGAGGGGTTAGACTTGTAAAGGACCACCTTTTCATCAAAGCCTGGGGTAGGAGAGAAGAGGGGATGAAGAAGAGGAGTTCTGAGACATATTAAAGGCGAGAGGAGGGAGCTCAATATAGATGGCCTCTATTTTTTCAGTGAAAATAGGAGGTGAGGTGCTTCGCTGAGGTAAAGGGGTTGGCACAGGAAATTTGAGAGGAGAGGAGACTTGAAATAGCCATTGTGTATTTTGATAATCAGGGAAGAATAAAAGCACTACTGTGTCATAGTAAAGGCCCACATGAGGTGATGGAAAACTTCCTATAAGCATATTCCCCTTAATCCTTTTTCAAGTTTTTAATAGCATGCAAATAATATAAGAAGACAACTGAGCAAGAAGTTCAAGGGCAGCTAATAGTGGATGGTCAAAAAGATCAGCTATGAATGAAGGGAAAAGAGGCCAGAACAGGAATGATGGACTAGAACAGGGGTGGGGAACTGAGGAGCTAGAGGGCCACATGTGGCCTTGAGGTCACAGGTTCCCTACCCTGGGCTAGAAGAACAGAGAGGGGTGGAGTAACTGGAGGTCATGGTACAGGCCAAACATAGGTTTAGTCCAGTGAGGCAAAAAAGATATTGAAGGATAGGATGTCATGGCTGGAAAGTCAAATTTCAGACTTCTGGATCATAGAGTTAAAATAGTTATGGACGATGGTCAGAAGAAAGGTCTGATCATCCCTGAATGTGGCTTACATGGGGTGAAGATGGAGGTAATAAGAGTTTAGAAGGCTCAGAGAACATAAACATGTATTGAGGGCAAAGGCTGGGGTGGAAAGGAAGACTCTTTCCAGGAAGTAGTTTAATGATATTTTTTCCTTGTACTAGGTTAAAATATCTAGATTGGATAGCAAGGTGTTCCACTAAATTTAAGATAGGTAAAGTGAAGGAAAATTGGAGTCAAGCCTCTAATCAAGAAGCAATACCTTCTTTAGATGACTGTCACCTCCCTGGGTTTTTTTTTCCACACTTTCCAGTCTTGTCAAAGAATGCAAGCTGGTTAGTTTCTCATTTCCATCTGCAGTTGTTGACCTACAGTCCTGTAGACTCTTCTTAAGTTCCATTAACTCCTGTTTTTCCTGTTCAAGCTCTTGATGGAGCAGTCTCTCAGCTCCTATGAGAGACTGAACACTGGACATCATTTGGAACACCTGTCTCTTAGTGAGTAGAACAACAAAAGATAGCAATAGAAATCTTGGTATTAAATTTAGGAAATGGGGGATTTATATTTATAATTAGAACACAATGAAGGATAAGAATCAATTCATTTTGTCTTAATTCTAATGATAGGAATAAAGGTCTTTCCTATGCTTATAAGCTTATTTTTATTAGTCTATTTTATTAAGAAAAGAATTGTTTACATTAATTCTCAAACCAACATATATTCAGAGTCTTGGCAGAATTCAATATTATTTGCTCACTGGATTCTAGCCAAACTCATGTGTAGCATTTCCAGAGGAATTCTCATATATAGATGAACCCAAACTTAAGGAACATCTTTAAGTTCATATCCTTTGCAATTAACCTGTCAACGTGTTGGTTATATCTAAATTTTCCACAAAGTATAGGCAGTAAGAGAAAAGGCACTAATTGCTAATTTTTCATAAATGGAACCTAAAAATCACTTTTAGTTTTAGTGAACCTAAGGAAAAATGGAATTTAGGGGAGAAATCAAACAAATGTGAACTGATAGCTCTCAGACTCACAGAATGCTAGACTGCTTTCCTGGCTAACTAGTCCAGCACATACTTTTACAGGTGAGACACTGGGAGAGTATATTCTTCCTGAAGAGAGTCAATCAACAAGCATTTATTAAGCTAGGCACTGTGGCGATACAAAGACAAAAGTGAAATCATTCCTGTCCTCAAGAAGGTCGTATTTTATCAGGGGAAATAGTATGAACATATAAATTTATATACATAACATTTACAAAATAAATACAAGGTGAATATTTTTGTGTGGTAGGCACCAAGAAAGGTGTAGGGGGTGAGGGGTGGGAGGGTAAAGACAGAGGGTATGGTTCCAGGTATGGAGACAATGGATTGTGTGTGAGCAGGAGAAGGAAGTCAGCTTGGCTGGAATATAGCAGAAAGAGGAAAAATGCCTATAACAAGGCCAGAAAGGCAGGTTGCTAAAGGATTAAAACACCCAATAAATGATTCTGTATTTGACCTTATGGGCGGCTAGGAGACACTGGAGTTCACTATCTCCAGTTTATCCAGTGTGTATCTTCTGTGCTGCACACAGTTATTTACATGCTGAAAACAGCATGTTTCCAGTAGACTGTGAGCTTCCTGAGAGCAGGGACTGTCTTCTGTTTCTCTTTTTATCTCTGGTGCTTAGCACAGAGCTGGGCACAGAGGAGGGAGAGCTAAATAAACACTTATTAACTTAAAGTGACTGAGCAGGGGAGTTAACATGGTCAGTCTTGTGCTTTAGGAAAATCACTTTGATAGCCATGTTAACAATGGACTGGAGAAAGGAGAGATTTGAGGCAGGAAGATCAATTAGTCAGACCAGAGGTGATGAGTGCATGAAGTAGAGTATGAGGATGAAAAGTGGAGAAACCTGACAGTCATTTAGAAAAGTGTCCCATTAAGAAGCTTGTGCTTGGTAGAAAGTGTGAAGGTACAACTACAGGAAGAGTTGTGGGATTCCTGCTATCACAGCAGGTTTTAGGATTGACTCTGTTAGACTCATATTTAAGAGTTCAAGTGGTATCTAGTCCAATTCCTAGCCAAATCATAAATCTTGTCTATGCCATCGGCTAAAGCAGTACTACATAAAGCAAAATATCCAACAACATTATTTGATGATGTTTCAATCTAATTTATTTTTAACTGTAATCTGGAGAAATATTGCTTTATTTTTGCTGCCTCTGAATCTTTCCATGGATCATTTTACAAGGGGCCAAATAAGGGGGAACATAATTTGAGACCCCATACTAGAAATGAGATAACCATTAGGGTTCTACTAATCCCCTTGCAACAAAGGAAATATAAAAGGGATATTGACTGTTTATGACTTATCATTACTGGAGCTGAGAGACAAGAAGCTCCCAGTGGAAGTAGTGAGCAGGGGGCTGGGATACCGAAGCAGTGGGCACTCCATGCCCAGACCAGGGTCTGGGTCTAGAAACTATCATGAATTCATCCAGCTATCAAATTGGTGTAGAAGAGCAACACTGGCTCTCCTTGCATCTGAGGGAGAAAGGGAGCAAAAGTCCTTCCCCTTCTCTACAGGCTTACACTGTGTGCCTGGGCTTTCCTTGATGGCACAGATCAAAGAAGCAAAGAAGAATGAAAGGGAAAAAGAAGCTACCTATGACTCTCTCTGAATGACAGTAAAAAAGTTTGTATATTTTCCTTTTAATTTTATATACATTAAGCTGTGTTATGATATGTCTAAATCATCAGTGGGTATCTCTAGCCAGTAGTACTATGCATAGTCACTCATATTAGCTGCTTCACTATGTAGGTTTTTTTTAAGGTCCCAAAAGAAGATTTCACAATCCTTCATGTGTCAGGAAAACAGTGGAAGGATAATTTTCAAAAAAAGTCATTGTTCAAAGGGTATTAAAAGTCAATTAGGATTTCCTGCTTTATATGCTCAATAACCATTCCCCACACATTTAGACTTGCAAGATCCTTATCATTAGTTTGATTTCAAAATAAAGACTTTTCCCTCTCCCTCTCCTCCTTTCCACAGATTTAGGACATCTTTAGGACATCTACTTTACAGTATTATTATCATCATTATTATTAGAAATAAAATTTTAAAAAATTCATCAATGGATACAAAGGAAAGAGAACTGAGGGTGTGTATTACTTTCAAGGGGTATGGGGCAAAGGCCAGATAATTGCGATCACTTCTCTTTTTAAAAATACATTGATTTTTTTTTTTCTCTTTCATGCTAGGATTTGGAACTGAAGGGCAAAGTTGCTTTTACAGCCAAGCCAAAAGCCAGTTAGCACCATTATAGGAGAGCAGCTTAGGCTTCTGCAGGCCTTGAGCTTCCTTTATCAAGCGTAGTAGCTGTTGTTCATCCTTCAGTTTTCAAATCCAATCATATAAGATTTGTTCCTTTATCAAGTAGAGAGGCACTATAGCTTGCTAAAAGATCAACAATACTATAGGTGTGTCCTATAGAGGGGGAGCTGCTCAGAGTGACACCTGGTGGGTAACTTAGATATCACCCTCTGAGCTACTCTAAAATCTTGGACTGGATTTTTACAGATAAGCTAAAACCAAACACTGAAAGTGTGTCATGTCACATAAGCACAAAATATTTAGATGCAATTGTGATTTGGTCTAGAAATATAAAATGTTTGAAACTTAAACCAAAGTTTTATTGCTTCAAATCAAACCTTCCATATACTGAAAAACCAGTAATAGAGAAATCTATCTCTGGATGAGTTGCAGTATTATGTCTGAGATACGGACCAGAAATTCAGACTTTCAATTTCATTGTAAGGTAGAAGGTTACAAGGTATTACAGGTCAGACAAAATAAGGTAACTAAATTCAGTAAGACAAATGAAAGACAATTTAATGCTTATTTAGAAGGAATGGTTGGTTTCTGACTGATTTCTCTCTACTTACCCTCTGTGCAAACCCCCTCCCCCCAAGCCATTATCGGACAACAGAGATAATAAGTTATTAATATGTTAATAAAGCACAAAGACATGCTACCATCTTGTCAATCACGTTTTTCTTGAGTGGACTAGAAGGAAAGAAGGCCACTGATTGCAAGAAGACTGGCCATGCCTCTGAAGGCTCTTAAAAGACTGAGCCCACCAGCTCTGGAATGAGGAATGGTGGGGGAACAGGTTGGTGGAGGAGACTTTTGCACCTAAACCAGAGGGAAGGAGAATTGAGGAGGGAAAGAAACCACCCCCCACTTCCTTCAGACATGGCCCTTTGCATCAGAGTCTGCATCTAATAGGGAGCAGACTCACACTTGATAGACAGATATGGACACAAAGAGGCAGTGACTACAGGTTGGAAACAAACTTTTTTTTTTTGGTGAGGCAATTGGGGTTAAGCGACTTGCCCAGAGTCACACAGCTAGTGAATGTTATGTTTATGTGTCTGAGGCTAGATTTGAACTTAGGTCCTCCTGACTCCAGGGCTGGTGCTCTATCCACTGCGCCACCTACTTGCCCCCAGAAACATTTTTTCAGAGAGACACAAACACAGAGAGACAGCAAGGAAGCTGCTTCAAGGAACTGACCTTGAAGGACAAGAACAGAAGAGAGTGCTAATTCCGGTATCTGAAAGTAGAGCACTGCCAAGCAGTTTGCTCAGCAGAGGCAGAACCTTCAGAGGAAGCTGTGATGGGGGAGGGGGAAGAAGGAGAAACATACACACACACACACACACACACACACACACACACACACACACACACACACACGAAAGAGATACCCATTAGGCACAGATTAGAGCACATACAAGGTGCTTAATGAATTCTGAGTAGTGATGGCAGTTACCTTAAGTTCTACAACTTCATTTTGCAGAAGACTTTCTTTCTGTACCATATGTTGCCTGTGTGAATCCAGTCTAGATGACATCTCACGCGCTGCCTTTTCCATTCTGTATACCATCTCTACTCTAAAAAAGTTTACTCATTTTAATAGTCTATTTTCCATTTCAAACATAATATATTAGGCATGCTCTTGCTTTACATATACATTGCCCATATTAATCTTTTTTTAAAAGAAAAAACAATGTGAATGCAATGAAAAATAACAGCAGTCTGGGTGAGGGGGGGTAGAAGGAAAATGCTGCTTATGTTCAGGCCAACAATGGACATTTCCATTTAGGAGAGAAATTAAATTAAGATAAGTGGCCTCATATCAGGCAAACTACTTTAGCAGTTAAGCTACTTTTAATTTATAAACAATGGCTAACGTATTATCTCTGCAAACACAACTGAAAAGTCTTCTACAAATTGCTCTTTATAAAATGGCAATGAATTTGTATCATCAATTTGCTATGTCTGTTACTTTTATACTTGTGCCTATAAATCTGCTCTTTTTAGGGTATAAAATATAAGAAGGTCAAATCTTAAAAAGTGCTTTTGTTTCATCAAAACTAACTACTATTTTTTGTGGGACCCTGAGACTATGGCTTCAAGAACAGAGGTGACCATGAATCATAGCTGGTGACAAATTAAAATAAACTAAATTGAGAAAGACAAAGGACAACTGCATGAGATATTCAGGAAAGACATTATCAATGTTTAGCTGCTAAATACATTTAGAACTAAAATTTATTATTTACTTTTTGATGGTTCTTTGAAAGGGAGTGGAAATAGATGGTGTAGTAGCACCAGAAGGCAAGTTAACTCACCTCTTCCTGCATTCACTAAGGTTTAGGTTTGAATTCCAAGTGGATAGAAGAGGGAGCAGGTCATCAGTGGTTTGCTTAAGGGTGTCTGCAACACCACTTACTGGGAAGGGAAGGTTGTAGCAAAGAAGCTAATGGGAAATGAATCCAGTGGTGAGGTAGACTAGCTAAATGTGGTTTGGAGAGCAAGACTAGGGACAGTCAGGTTAGGAGAATTTCATCTGGGAAGGATGTGATTTCTAAAAAAAGGAAAAAAAAAGCAAGTATAAGATAGAGAAATGATCAAGAACAGACATTCATCACATAGAGAGAACTGAATAAGAATGGGAAAGATAGCATCTGAAGAACAAATAGGGAAAATAACTATGACTTGTCTATAGGCTTTCCTCCTCAAACACAAACAAAATAATCTGGGATATATAAGAATAAGAAAGGTACATTCTTACTGAATATTAGAAAGCACGACTCACTGGCTCACCAAAGCTAGAAACTCAGAGGGCTAGAAGTTTTAAACACTATTCTGTGTGGCATTAAGCAACTCCATGTAACATCTGGAAGATATTATCTTTCAAATGTAACAGTGGCAATGCCAAAATGCTCTATCTACACTGGGTTGCTTTTCATATTGAAGGAAAAATGATCTAAATGCATTTTGTGAATGACTCTCATTTATGTAGTGCCTTAAAGTTATGAAGTCAGCAAGTATTTAAATGCTTCCAATGGACCAAAGCACCAGGCTAAGTTTGGGGATACAAAGAGAAGTAAAAAGACTCCCTGCCTTCAAGGAGCTTGCATTCTAATGTGGGTGGGTGGGGGTGGGGAAGAAAGCATGCAAATAAATATGTATGAATAAGATAAATACAGTAAAAGTAGGAGGCAATCTTAGAAGGAAGGCATTAAGAGGCACCAGGAAAGGCTACTTGCAGAGGGTAGGATTTAGCTGATACTTGAAGAAAGCTTAAGAAGCCAGAAAGGGGAGAGGGGATTCCAAGAATGGGGGGACAGTCAATGAAAATGCATGGATTCAAGAGATTAAGAGTGCCTTGTGTGATACAAAGAAAATTGGGGTCCCCCCATGCAGAACAGAACTGTGAAGTAGGGATGCTAGGTATTATCCCCATTTTACAGATGAGGAAATTGAGGATCAGAGAGGTTAAGTGACCTACCAAAGGTCAAACTACTAGTAAGTGTCAGAGGTGGAATCTGAACATAGGCTTACTATAATACTTTGCCACAGAAATGCTTGTTATGTTCCTATGTTGTTCAAATCTGAGTATAGTTACAAAGTTTAGATATACATTAACTTTTTCCAGTGTTTCTTTCCACATCAAATGAATATACACTTTGTCATTTTGAAAGTAAAACCAAGGTTTTGTCTCATGGACTGGATGCTATGAAAATAACCTCTACAAAACACAAGTCTTTTTGCGGCAGAGACAAATTTGTTATTGCCAGAATCAGCAAACTAGAAATAAAACAAGGCCGTTAAAAAGGAGCTTGAAAAGCCATTTCTAGATAAACTTTTAAGTGCTTAAACATCAGGGCTGGGACTACTCTGGGAGAAATGCTGAGTTCTTGGCTCAGCTAAAGCTGAAGGGCCAGTGTCCATATTCACCAGCAGGCTTGCAAGGTTAAGTCTACTCTTTCTTTTCCTGAAATAAGGCATTTCATAGAGGAAAGATGAGGACTGTTAGGGTGGGTGACAGCACATATTTTTTTTGTAAAGTATTTTATTTTTCACAATTACATGTAATGGTAGCTTTTCAACATTCATTTTTAAATATGATTTTGAGTGCCAAATTTTTCTCCCTCATTCCTTTCCCCCTCCCCAAGAAAATAAGCAATCCGATATAGGTTATATATGAAAGCACATATTCTTAAAAACTGATATCGGTCTGGGTAGTTTTATCAAAGCAATATTTATCATTCAAGACAAATAGTGCATAAGAATTTTTTTTTCAAATGTACGATGTTTATACTTTTGACTCCATAGCACTTAAATAATATCAAGAAAACTATGTATAGGGATTTCAGGATTTAGTCCCTGATAAATACAAAAATTAATATTTCAGAATTATGGTTGAAACAGAAATTTTAACTTACCTAAGCATCACTAGCTCTGATCTCAGCTCTGCTATGCAGTTATGCTGCATGTCTTCTGAGTTAAAGACAGTGTAACCACAGCCTTTGGGGCATTCCTGGCTTCGTAATTCACATGCTGCTAAATGACCACTTAAGTTACGCCGTTCAACTTGAACTGGACAACCTGATTGGAGAACAGAATAACCTGAAAATCACTAACTCCACAATTATTACACTTCCGTGATAGGAAAGAGAAACCAAAATCGAAAATGTTCCAAAATGCATAGTGAATACCAGTAAAATCAATGAATATTCTGTCTCCAGCCAGCACTCACACATCCAACCCTTCCTCTCTATTTCTGATGGGGTATGGGCCCACCCCTAAACCTCAACATTTCCACAGGCACTACCATAATTTAGGCCTTCATTGCTTCTTTTCCAGATTGCTAAAATGGCATCTTTCTTCCAGTCCATCTTCCACACAACTGACAAAGTGATTTTTCTTCAGCAGATCTGATCATGCTGTTCCCCTAATTTGATAAACTCCAGTGGCTTCCTATTGCCTCTAGGATCATAATAGAAGCTTCTCCACTGAGCTCTTAAAGCCCTTCACTAGCTGTCCCCAACAAATCTTTCTAGCATCATTATTCATTAATGTCCCTTCTCCACTCTGCAGTCCAACCAATCTGGCCTTCCCTCTGTCCCTCACAAAGTGACCTCTATCTTCCATGCCTGTGCCTCTGCATTGTCAGCCCCTCCACTTATATTGTACTTCCTGCTCATCTGAGCCTCAGAGAATCCCTCTCTTCCTTCAAGATCCCCTTCTACATGAAGCCTTCCCCTCACAAAGTACTAATACACCCCCTCCCTAACCACCTTCTCCGAATACGAATGATCATACAATAAAAAATAGAAAAGAAGCAGATCGTGTATCTTCACAGCTGAGGTTGGGGATAAGCAGGGAGAGTGAATTCTTAACCAAAAAAGGGGCAGAGGCAATTATAAAAGATTACATTGATAATTTTCATTATATGAAATTGAAAAGCTTTGGCCATGAATAAAATGTAACTAGAATAAGAAGAAAAGGTTGGAAAAACTTTCTTTTTATCAGACATCTCTGAAAAGAGTTTAATATCTATAATACATAAAAAACTATCAAATACATGGCCAAAAGCCATTTCCTAATAGATATTTGGTCCATGGACATGAAGAAATATTTCTCAAAAGAATTGTAATTATTAACAACTATATGATAAATTGCTCCAACTCACTGAAAATTAGAAAAAAGCAAATCAAAAGAAGAAATGTGAGAAGTTATCCTTCTCTTTTTCAGAAATGGGGAACTATGGATATATAAGTCGCATCATTTTTGAAAAGTTGTTCAGTTTTGTGCAACCTTTTTTCTTTCCTCCTTCCTCCTTTACTATAAAAGATGGCTTTCTGGGAAGGTGTAGGAGGAATAGATTTGGAAATAAAGGTGACATGAAAACCACACATCCACATCATGCATAAGGAACAGAGAGAATGCCAGTTTGGTGTGAGGGCATCAGAGAAAGTGAGACCCAAGGAGGCTGGATTTTTACTGGATTTCTGTTTTCTCTGACAACTATCTTTGGATGGAAAAGAACAGGAAAAATGGCCAATAAGGAATTGACTACTCAAGAGAAATAAGGAGATAATAACAGTGTATCTGGCAGTTTTTGATGAGTTCAGAGCAGAAGACCCAGAGGAAGTACATTTTTAGGGTAGAGCCACTGCCAGTCATCTTTGGAAGATTAGGGAAAATGAGAGAGGGACTACAGGATGGAAGAAGTGGAAATATCTTGATTTAAAAACACAATAAAACAATTTTACTTTGATCCTTGGCAAAATTCTAGAATGTATTATTAAAGGGATACTTAATGAACATCTAGAAAAATACTTATCACAAAGTTAAAACACCTTTAAAACAGTTCATGGAAAACTAAGATTATTTCCTTTTTTTTTTTTTTAACAGAGTTACGAGATTGCTGAGAGGAATACTATACTTATACTTTATCTAAATGGTAGTAAAACATTTAGGAAAGTGTTTTATGCTAGTCTTGTGGGCAAAAAAAAAGGTGAGTTAGATGATAGTTCAATTAAGTTTATTCAAAATTGACTAAATGGCTAAACCAAGACAGTAGAAATTGTGTCTACTGGAGTGCTCTAGGAATCTATGTTTGAGCCTGTGATATTTAATATTTTATCAATGGATTTAATTAATAACAAACTAGCATTTACATAGGACTTTTAAGATTTACAAAGCAGTGTAAAATATTATCTCATGTCATTTTCACAGCAACCTTGTGAGGTAGATAACATAATTATCCCCATTTTACAGATGAGGAAATTTATTCTGTGACCCTTGCCCAGGGTTACATAGTCACTATATGTCTGAAGGGGGATTTGAACACAGGTCTTCCTGACTCCAGGTCCAGCATCTTTTGCTCACTGAGCCACCTAAGCTGCATCAAATGCACAGTTATCAATTCAAAGACGACATACAGCTAGGATAACCAGCATATTACATGAAAGATTTATGATCTAAAAGATTTCAACAGGCTGGAATTTGGGGTCAAATTTGATAAGATGAAATTTAAGAGGGATAAATGTAGTCTCATACACTTGTATTAAAAAATTACTTCACAAGCATGAGATGGCAGAGCCCTACCTACACACAAGCTCATCTAGAAAAGATCTAGGGGTTTTCTTGGACTATAAACCCAACAGGATTCAACAGTGCCCTCAAAATCTAAGTGATCTTAGATTGTATTAAGAGAGGTGTGATGTCTAGTACCAGGGAGGTGACAGTTCCATTGTATTCTACCCTTCTCAGACTACATCTGGAGTACCGTGTTCAGTATTGTGAAACACATTTTAGGAAGGACTCAGATAAGTTGGAGAGCATCTAGAGAAGTGTGGACAGAACTAGAAGCAAAGGATCCTTACTTGCAAAGAGGCAAAATAGAAAAATTTAATATTGATCAGAGTTATCTCAAAGTGGGGCAGACTATCCTTGAAGCTGACGGGTTCCTTCTCACCAAGTCTTCAAACCTAGGTAGGATGAACACTTGTCTGGTTTGTTGGGATTCTTCTTAACTACATGGTTGAACCAGATGGAATCTGAACTACTTTTCACCTCTACTGTTCTATAATGCTCATGAAGCAGGACATCAGCTAGGTGGCGCCTGCCTACCAAGGTTAACGAATGACTAGTAACTAGTCCTTTTATTAATGGGATTTGTTTTGTGAAGTTTGGATTTAGTCAAAGGGCCGCACTTGAGGGCCTAGAGGGCCACATGTAGCCTCGACGCCACAAGTTCTCCACCCCTGGCCTAGTTGTTCCTTTGAATCTTTTCGGTGGTACTGTATAACATTCCTGAGAATTCTCAGATCGGACACGGTCTCTTGGTGATGGGCCCTGGTGCGGTGATTCCACTCCTAAGTGTTGTGAGACCTAAAGCATACTGGTTTTAGATGAATGGTCTTAGTTTTTAAGTAGATGATAGAGGGGGGAAAAGATCTAGGATGTTTCCAGCTTTGAGTCCTACTATGGATCAACAGTACGTCTTGGCTTGATCTACATGTGCTATTTTTCATTTGTGTGACCTGATGTAAGCTTTCATACCCATCCATTTGCTCACGTCATGAAGAGCTATGAGATGTCAGCATTATTTGCTTTCCCATAAGTAGTCTTTTAATTCCTAAGATTTTCTCATCAAACCAATCCAGATATCTGTTTGAATCCTAAAAACTCACAATATTTTCTAAGTTACTTGAGGGCAGTCTCACATACCGAGTCTCATACACCTAAGCCTTCCCTAGAGTGCTTTAACAAAAAGTACTGCACAGAATAGATAACAACTATTATTTACTGAACAAACAGGTCTTAACTCACAAGTGAATTTAGGACAAACAGTCTTAGTTTAGTAACAAGTTGTGCTGGCAGTAACTTGATTTCCTGAGAAGTCATGGGATGTTAATTTTATTCGGCCTACATTTACCTGTATTTGTGCACGATATCCAACCATATTCACATTCCCTTTCATGCTGCTCCACTGATTCTAAAGAGCAAACCATTTCACAGCCACGTTCTCCATTTCTGCAGTGAAGCTGGAGTCGATTTAGATCATTTCGCATATATCTGTAGTATATTCACATATAAATTACTACCTTGGTTCTAAATGATATATCACTGTGAACCTAAATATATAAAGTACACATAAGTATTAAAGTGACCTTTGTGGTGAGCAAATGGCCATGGGAATTCAACTTGGCAAAAAAATCATTTGGAAATATTATAATACTGAAGTGTTAGGATTCTGAGGCAACCTAAAATATTGAGGTGATTCTCTTTTAGGTAAATACAAGGTTTCTTCTAGCTCTAAATCTATGATCCTAAATTTTATTTGCAAACACTATGATCACAGAATATTAAGATTCTGAATTTACCCCAAAAAGTGTAGATAGTTATTTTTTTTAGGTCCCTTCCAACTCTAATTCTGTGATTAAATAGATAAATAAGTTCTCCTGAAAGTTAATTAGCAGAGGCATAGACCCAAATCTCACACCATATACCAAAATAAAGTCAAAATGGGTTATGATTTTGATATAAAGGCTGACACTATAAGAAAACTGAGAGAGCAAGGAATAGTTTACCTCAGATTTATGGAGAACAGAAGAAGACCAAAGAGGAGATAGAGAACATTACAAAATGCAAAAGGAGTAATTTTGATTACATTAAATTGAAAAGTTTCTGCACAAACAAAGCCAATGCAACCAAGATTAGGAGGGAAGTAGAAAACTAGGAAAGAATTTTTACAACCAGTGTCTCTGATAAGGGCCTCACTTCTAAAATATATAAAGAATTAAGACAAATTTCTAAGAATGCAAGTCATTCCCCAATTGATAAATGGTCAAAGGATATGAACAGGCAGTTATCAGATGAAGAAACGAAAGCCATCTATAGTCATATGAAAAAATGTTCCAAATCACTATTGATTAAAGAAATGCAAATTAAAATAACTCTGAGGTACCACATCACACCTATCAGATTGGCCAACATGACAAAACAGGAAAATGATAAGTGTTGGAGAAGATGGGGGAAAATTGGAACACTAATGCATTGTTGGTGGAGTTATGAAATAATCCAACCATTGTGGAGAGCAATTTGGAACTATGCCCAAAGGTCTATAAAAATGTGCATACCCTTTGACTCAGCAATAGCACTTCTAGGGCTGTATCCCAAAGAGATCATAAAAATGGGAAAAGGAACCACATGTACAAAAATATTTATAGCAGCTCTTTTTGTGGTGGCAAAGAATTGGAAATTGAGGGGATGCCCATCAACTGGGGAATGACTGAACAAGTTATGGTATATGAATGTAATGGAATACCACTGAGCTATAAGAAATGATGAGCAGGCAGACTTTAGAAAAACCTGGACTTACAAGAATTGATGCTGAGTGAAGTGAGCAGAACCAGGAGAACATTGTACACAGTAACAGCCGCATTGTGCAATGCCTAACTTAGCCCTTCTCAGCAATGCAAGGATTTAAGACATCTCCAAAGGACTCATGATGGAAAATGCTATCCACATCCAAAGAAAGAACTATGGAGTTTGAATGCAGATTGAAGCATACTATTTGCTATTTTTTTCCTTCTGTTTTGTTTTTGTTTCCTCTTTCTGGTGGTTTCCCCTGGTTCTAATTCTTCCTTACAACATGACTAATGTGAAAATGTTTAATAGGAATACATATGTATAGCCTATATCAGACTGTGCACCACCTTGGGAAGGGAAGGAGAGGGAGAAAAATTTAAAACTCAAAAGCTTATGGAAATGATTTTTTTTTAGGCAATTGGGGTTAAGTTACTTGCCCAGGGTCACACAGCTACTAAGTATCAAGTATTTGGTCTAAGGCCGCATTTGAACTCAAGTCCTCCTGACTTCAGAGCCAGTGCTCTATCCACTGCACCACCTAGCTGCCCCTATGGAAGTGATTGTTGATATATCAAAATAAATTAACAATTTTTTTTTGTAAAAACGAAGTTAGCTAGCAGAAATGGCATAAATAAATGATTCATGTAAAAGTTTCTACTTTTGACCAGATGGGAATTAGTGTCTAAATAACCCCAACAAAGTTATCTTTGGTGTGTTTTGCCTTTATGAAATTGTGATTCATGTTTCCTTACTAAGCATGCTCTGCTTATGGGAAAAAGACACTGAGGAGAAGAGTCTAGGGCATTGACACACATGCAAAAGTAATGGACACACAGAAACACATGTAGAGAGGCATACAAACAGATGAGTCAAAGAGTGACATATAGAAATAGAGACAGAAGAGAAAAGAAACAGAGGACACATACAGGATACCATCCTTATCAATAACAGACAGTATATTATCAAATATCTGCTAAGTGTAGGATACTGTGTTTTGTTTTCTCAAAATTGCGATAGCCTCATGAAAAGTTGTTAAGCAGCATATATGTAGGGAGGGCAACAAAGTTGTTTTGCTAAGGAAATAGGACAAAGATCTATAGCCCTACCCAGCTCCTTTCAGATTCTTTTCTTGGGATGAGATCTGAATGGACCACAATTAGCATCATGACACTGGAAAGAAATCGATGAATTTTGAATGTTTTACAACATATTCTGTTCCTTAATCTTCTCCTTTTCTATTTTATTTATGTATGTTTCTAGGGATATAATTTTTCCCTAAGACCTGTGTTAGCTGCATCCCAGAAATTCTGTTATATTACTTCATAATTGTCATAATATTATTCATTATTTCTATTATTCATTATGTCATAAATATTCATTATTTCTATGATTTTTTTTTGGACCTACTCATCCAGGATTTCATTATTAAGTCTCCACCTGGAGCTATGTTTTTTGTTGTGCTCCTTAAATTGATTACTGGTGACTTTGCACAGCCCTCCTTCACATAAATCCAATTCATTTGCAAGTCATGACACCATCTTTCTTTTGCCTTGGTCCTCTTCGAGATTGAAGGAGAAACAACATCAACAATAACAAAACCAGTTTTTATTATATTATGGTCTGTGAAGGATGTTTACTTGCAATATCTCTGGGCCCATGGTCAATTTTTGTAAAAGTTCCATTTGATGCTAAAAGTATGTATATCCTTAATGCCTTAAGTCTTTAGCTCTAGTTTTTCCAGCAATTTGTACAATTCTGTATTTTTCCTTCTGTTTTCTTTTCTGCAGATATGTTCAAATCTGAGAGAGGGACATTAAAGTCTCCTAGTATTACTGTGTAATATGTTCTTCTTTATTTAATTTTTCCTTTATGAATTTAGATACTATGGCATTTGGAACATATATTTAATAATTATATTAGTTTGCTATCTATGGTTCCTTCTAGCATAATCTAATTTCTTTATTAATCTCTATTAATACTGTGAATTTTTGTTTTTGCTTGACTTGATAGCATGATTGCAACTCTTGCTCTTTTGGATATACCTGATGAAAAATAAATTTTGTTCTTGTTTCTCATTTTTATTTTGTGAATGGTGTAAAGAAGTTTAGAGGAATTTTCTAACCCAAGTGTCTAATTCAAGGTCTACATTTTTGCCCAAATAGGTTCAGACAACTCCTATAAAGGGTGTGTGGCATCAAGGGATGGATCACTGGGGAATGCTTTGCTATTCAGTAATATGGAAGACGTGAAACTTTTTACATAGTTATAGCAAAGGTGAATTCACCTTAAAAAAAATCTAGCTGAATTGATGGCAATAGGGAGATGTCCCTCAGTATTACATACCTTTGATTTGGTACCATCCCTCTGATAGGGGCTACCAGGTAAGGGGAAGTTTTGGCAAGTATGCCAAGGAACACTAAGTGAGTTAAGTCTCAGTATCAGTTGAACAATCGTTTTCACAAGACAGACTTGAATTTTACAGCTAGCTGGTTGGGGGGTCTATATCACACACACACACACACACACACATACACAGAGCTTTGATCTAAATTGCCTCAGTTCATGATTGTTTATGGAAAATACCTTTAATAAAGCTGGATACAATTTGGGGGGGAAATGCATCTTTAAAAAGGGTCATCACAAGTAAGTACAAAAGTAGCCTCTCCCTCTCCACTGATATACTGTATCCTAGGTTGCTAGCTCTGGATTTAGTAACTGTTATTTTTCCTAGGGAAACTTGCCTATAGAGAATTGAGAATAATTGACAATTGGATAAAAATTTGAACTATTCTATTCCTACATCTGACATGTATTTTTCCCTCTATAAAGGGTGATTCCAATATTCAGGGATATGAAGATGATTCTTGAAGGTACTAAACACACAGTAGTGTGGTTGCCATTGGTTACCATGGGACAGTAAGGTTGTGTGATGGCAAACCATAGAAATGACAATTGCTGAGACTTCATTTGCCACAGGATCTTCTGGTTACTCTCTGCATTAATCCACCAGATTCCCATTCCAATCCATGAGAAGGCTTGAACTGGAAGCTACCCATAATGGTCAGGGGCACCTACACACCAGAATGCTATTTTGACGTCAAGGGCTGGTTTTGTTTACATCTTTCTTGGTAGTTGGTACTTTTCCTTTACAATGGCAAGCAAATGTCTCACACTCTTTTAATCTTTGTGATTCAGGACTGCTGTTGGCCAAAGAGAAAATCTCTGTCCTCTGCTACTTCTCCCATTAGTCTCATCTCTATTTCTCCATGGTCTCTATCTTTTTCTGCCCAAACTTCCACTTTTTCCACTGGAACCTTCACTCTATTGTTAATCTAGACTTCAATAATCCATCAACAAGAATTTACTGAGTCTATCATGGATCAGGCACTGGGGATACTTCCTAAACTGTATCCTTTTACATTATTTCCATCAACTGGTACCAAAGAAATCTGGTTCTATACCTGAGTTCTTATCATCCTATGCAGTGCTGGCCACTCCTTCTTCTATGCCTTCCAGTAAACAGGGCCATACTCTATAATCCCTTCTGCCACTGTCCAGACCTCCCACCATTACACCACCCAGTGCCTCTGCATACTAGTTTGAAGCTGGCAAAATATGTTCCTCACATTAATGTTGGGAGATAAATAGTGTAAATACCATTATTTATATTTTATAGAAGAGATAAATCATCATCTATTTCCCACCAAGAAAACATTATTGCTCCTCTTAGGCAATGTAGCATATAGACCACTGGGCCTGGAGTCAGTAAGACTGGAGTTCAAATTTGGCCTCAGACAATGAAAAGCTGTGTGACCCTGGGTAAGTCACTTAATCTCTGCCTGCCTCAGTTTCCTCATTGATAAGATGGGAACAATAATAGCACCTGCTTCCCCAAGTTGTTGTGTGAGAATTAAATAAAATAATATTCATAAAGCACTTAGCACAGTGCCTGGCACATAGTAGACACTTAATAAATGCTTGTTTCTTTCTTTGTTTCCTTGAAACTGTTTTGGGTCCCCCCACTTTCCTTTCTACTTTCTCCTCCAGGGTGATTTTATCAACTCTCATAATATCACCTTTACACAAATGAGACTGAAACCTATTTTTATTTAGCTTTAATTTCTCTTTGGAGTTCCAGTCCTACATCTCCAACTACCTTCTGGATATCTCTACTTAGTTGTTTCACTGAGACCCCAAACACAAAATTTCCAAAATGTAACATCATCTTCATCCCTTAAATCCACCCCTCCCTCTAAAGTCCCCTCTTTCTGTTGATGGCACCCCTGTCCTCCAAATCATCTACCATGCAGTTATTCTTGACTCTTGCCTTTTCTTACCTGCCATATCAAATTAATTCCAAGTCCTATTGGTTTATTTTCATGACATCTATAACCTCTTCACTCACACAGCCTCCTTCAAGCCCTCATTACTTTCCCCTTGATTAAGGCAACAGTCTCCTAGATATTCTTCATATTATTCAGCTTTTCTTTTTTCCTTATAAACATTTGACACAAGTAGGCCCATTACACTCTTTCTCAAGATTAACCTGCCAGCTTCTGCCTCCATGCATTTGTAGAGGCCATTCTACCATTCCTGAAATGTACTTCTGACTTATTTCTACCATTCAGAATGCTTATCTTCCTTTGAGGTTCAATTTAGGTGTCACATTCTTCATTCCATCCCTGACCCCACAGTTCTCTAGCTCTTCAAATATTTGCAGAGTACTATTTCACATTGTGCTTATTTGTGTTCTTGTCACATTTCATCCCCTTTACCTTTTCCTATTCCTTAGTAAAGTCAACTCTTTGATTTTTAATTCTTTTTTTTTTAGGCACTTGGGGTTAAGTGACTTGCCCACGGTCACATAGCTAGTAAGTGTCAAGTGTTCGGTCTGAGGCTGGATTTGAACTCAGGTCCTCCTGACTTCAGAGCCAGTGCTCTATCCACTGCACCACCTAGCTGCCCCTAAATTCAACTCTTTAAAGGCAGCACTGTGTACTTTTTATATTTGTATACCCCAAAGCCTTCTGGCACAGTGCTTTATATATAGTAGGTACTTAATATAAGTTGGTTGAAGTGCAATGAGGAGGTTCATACAGGGATCAAAATAATAATCTTGACACTTAGCTGACTGTGTTTATCAGACAATGCATTAAAAATCTACATGGGCTAGATTTGCTATTTTGATCTCATTCCCAATGTTGTAGTAATAAATTATAATGAAGATACAATTAGGTAAAATTACCCATACTTTTTTGTGATTTTCAGTACCAACTGAACTGACAGTTGAACAATTCATTAACGATACTCTCAATTTTACAAGTGAAAAAAACAAACATTAGCAAACTTTATTTCTATAAACTCATCAATTACCTGTAAAGAGGTCGAAGCATTGACATATTAAGTGTTTGCCTATCTTCAGGGCAGTTGCTGTGATAAACTAACCATCCATGAATGCAAGAGGCACAGAAAGCATGTTCACAAGGAGCCTGTAAAGGGTCTTTCAAAACACCTTGGCAGATGCAGCACAACAGTCCTTCATTGACATAACCAACAAAACGCTCAATGTCGTAACCCATTTTTCTTACTATGTTTCAACCTATTTAGATAAAAACAAATCAAGTAGTAGGAAATGAATACCATTGGCAACAATGTGCATTGATAACATTCATAAATAAAAGTTCTGAATATTAAAATTAATATTATTATCATTATTTTTAGGCAATTGGGATTAAGTGACTTGCCCAGGGCCACACAGCTAGTAAATGTCTGATGCTAGATTTGAACTCAGGTCCTCCTGACTCCAGGGCTGGTGCTCTCTCCACTGCACCACCTAGCTGCCCCTATACTTAACTTTATTAAAGCATTTTTTGAAGGCTAACCAAGTTTCAAAAAATATATACCAAGTCCTCATTATACCATTTTTTCCCTCAGGGCTTAGAGAGATAGCATAATATTTTGGATATGGTATTAGAATGAACCATGGTTTAAGTCCCACTTCAGACACTTAAACAATACATATGCCCTTAAGTAAGCCATTTTTATCATTCTTTGCAGATAATATGATGGCATACTTACAGGATCTTAGAAAATCAACTAACAAACTAGTTGGGAAAAATGAACAACTTTAGCAAGGTTGTAGGATATAAAATAAGCCACATAAATCACTAGCATTTCTATATATGACCAACAAAATCCAACAAGAAGAGATAGAGAAATTCCATTTAGAATTTTTAAACTGCAGACAGTATAAAATATTTGGGAGTCTACCTGCCAAGATAAACCTAGGAATTATATGAACACAATTACAAAACACTTTTCACACAAAGACAGATCTAAACAACTGGACAAATACTAATTGCTCATGAGTAGGCCAAGCCAATATAATTAAAAATGACAATTCCACCTATATTAATTTATTCAGTTTCATACCAAGCTACCAAAATTATTTTATAGAGCTAGAAAAAAATAATAGAATTTCATTTAGAAGAATAAAAGGTCAAGAATATCAAAAGAATAAAAAAGATATGAAGGAAAGTAGGCTAGGTCGGAGCACTAGATCTCAAATTATATTACAAAGTGGTAATCATCAAAACAATCTGGAGTGGATCAGTGGAACAGATCAGGTACACAATACATAGTAGCAAATCACCACACTAATCTAGTGTTTGATAAACCCAAAGATCTAAACTTTTGGGGCAAGAACTCACTATCAGACAAAATTGTTGGGAAAACTGGACAGCAGTTTGGCAGAAACTAGGTATAGAACAACATCTCACATCATATACCAACATAAGGTCAAAATGGGTACATGATTCAAACATAAAAAGTGATATAAGCAAATTAGGGGAGCATAGAAAATTTTACCCATCAGATCTATGGATAAGGGAAGAATTTATGACCAAAAAAGAGACAGAAAGGATCATGGGAATTAAAATGGAGTAAAATTTTGATTACATTAAATTAAAAAGTCTTTGCAGAAACAAAACCAATGCAGCCACGATGCGAAGGAAAGCAGGAAAGTGAGGAAATTTTCTCTGATAAGGTTTCTTTTCTCAAACATAAGGAACAGAGTCAAATCTACAAAAGTAAGAGCCATTCCCCAACTGATAAATGGTCAAAGGATATGAACAAGCAGTTTTCAGAATAAGAAAGCAAAGCTAGCTGTGGTTATATGGAAAAAAATGCTCTAAATCACTGATTAGAGAAATGCGAAGTAAAATAACCGAGATACCACCTCATACTTGTCAGATTGGCCAGCATGACATAAAAGGAAAATGACAAATGTTGGAAAGGACATGGAAAAACTGGGACCACTAATGGCACTGTTGGTGTTGTGAACTGGTCCAACCATTCTGGATAACAATTTGGAACTGTGTCCAAAGGACTATCAAACTGTGTATATACCCTTTGACCCAGAAATACCACTGCTAGGTCCCTATTTCAAAGAGATTAAAGAAAAGGGAAAAGGATGTATATGCACAAAATATTTATAGCAGGTCTTTTTGTGGTGGCTTAAGAAATGGAAATTGAGGGAATGCTCATCAATTGGGGAATGGCTGAACAAGTTGTGGTATGTGATGGAATACTATTACGACATAAGAAATGACAAGGGGGATGGTTTCAGAAAAACCTGGGAAGACTTATGTGAATTAATTCAGAGTGAAGTGAGCAGAATCAGGAGAATACTATACACAGTAACAGTAATACAGGCATACTTCGTTTTATTGTGCTTTGCAGATACTGCGTTTTTTAAAAAATGAAGGTCTATAGCAACCCTATGTTGAGCAAGTCTATTGGTGCCATTTTTCCAACAGCATGTGCTCACATCATGTCTGTGTCACATTTCAGTAATTCTCAAAATATTTCAAACTTTTTCATTATTATTATATCTGTTATAATGATCTGTGATCAGTGATCTTTGATGTTACTATTATAATTATTTTGGGGCATCATGAATCATGCCCACACAAGACAGTAAACTTAACTGATAAATGTGTTGTGACTGTCTACCAACTGACAGTTCCCCCAGTCTCTCTCCCTCTCCTTGGGCTTCCCTATTCCTTGAGACACAACAGTATTGAAATTAGGCCAATTAATAACCCTACAATGGCCTGTAAGTGTTCAAGTGAAAGCAAGAGTCAATATATGTAGCAAGCTTCATTGTTGTCTCATTTTATGCAATTGCCACAACTATCACAACCTTCAGCAACCACCATCCCAATCAGTGAGCAGCCTTCAACACCGAGGCAAGACGTTCTACCAGCAAAATGACTCACTGAAGGCTCAGATGACGGTTAACTTTTTTTTTAAGCAATAAAGTATTTTTTAATTATGGTAATACATTTTTTAGACATAATGCTATCAGGCACTTAATAGACTAAAGTACAGTACAAACATAACTTTTATATATACTGGGGAACCAAAAAAATTCACGTGATTCACTTTATTGCAATGGTCTGGAATTGAACCCACAGTATCTCCAAAATAAGCCTATATCAGAATGATGATCAACCATGAAAAACTTAGCTGCTCTGATCAATGTAATAATCCAAGACAATTCTGAAAGACTCATTTTGAAAAATGCTATCCACCTCCACAGAGAGAACTGACATCTGAGTGGAGACTGAAATACACAATTTTCTCACTTTCTTTTTCTTTCCTTTCATAACATGGAATATGGAAATGTTTTGCATGATTTCACATGTATAACTGATATACAGCTTGTCTTCTCAAAGGGTCGGGGAGGAACTGGAGAGGAGAGAATTTGGAACTCAAAATTAAAAGATTACTAAAATATATATTTTTTTAAAGAATGGGGACGTTAACAATGCTTATGCTGCAACAGGTTCTTATCAAGAATTGTAAGGACTTTTAAAAGCTATAAAAATAAACTGTAATTATTATCGAGGCCCATGAAATTTGACTGCTTTCTAAATTAAACCCTCTTCAATCTATCTTCTGACTTCAACATCAAACAGAAAACGCTCTCTCCTGTTAGCACTGATCTCTTAATTGCCACATAATAATGGCCTTTTCAGTCCTTATCTTTCTTGACCTGACATAATTTATCACTCTCTCTTCCAAGACACTTTCTCTGAAGGTTTTCATGATACTACTCTCTTTTGATTATTCTTCTGTCTGATTGCTCCTTTTCAGTTTCCTTTCTCATAATCTTTTCTATTGGTGTTCCCTAAGATTCTGTCTTGGGCCCCCTTCTCTTTGCCCTCTAAACTGTCTTACTTTGTGACTTCATTAGCTCCAATGGGTTAAACTATCATCTCAACTCTGTTGATTACTACATCTAATAACCTGTCAATCTCTCCTGAGCTCCAGACCCACATCAGCAATTGCCTCTTAGACATCTAGAACTGTGTGTTCGCTAGAGATCTCACTCAACATGTTCAAAACAGAACTTTCTTCTAAAACCCTCCTCCTTCTGTATTTCCTATTACTATAAAGGGTACTACCATTTTCCAGTCACTGAGGCTCACAATCTCAATGTCATGTTCAACTCTTCACCCCACATATGTAATGTTGTCAAATCTTTTTTTGTTTTTACCTTCACATCTCGTATAGGTTCCCCTCTTCTCTACTCATACAGCTAGCACCCTTGGCAAGAACCTTCTAATTTTATTTCCTTTAGAATCAAATACAAGTTACTGTGTTTAGATTTTAAATCTTTTCACGACCTAGCCCTAAACTACCTTTCCAAATTTATTGTACATTATTCTCCTTGCTGTGCTCTATGATCTAGCCAAACTGACCTTGCTGTGCCTCATTCGCCATTTGCAAGAGGCTTCATCTCTTTTGTCTCCCTTGGTAGAAAGTTGCAAAACCCTTAATATCTTTGGCTCTCTAGATTCAGTCTATAATCTTTACCTTTTTTATTTCACTGATTCCTTCGGCAGTCTGGTGAGGCCTATGGAATATTTCTCAGAATATTTTTAAATACGTAAAACAAAATACACAGGATTCTGAAAGAAAGTGCATTTAACTTAAAACTGTAATGGGGAGTGCTTTTCCTAAAAACAGAAGCCTGAATATGTTTGTAAGATACACAAAGAGCCAGTGTATGTGGTACCCTCTCTAGGCTGTTCTCCCAAATTACATTCAAAACTAGGAATCTCCTGTGGAGTTTACCAGTCATGATAAACTGTAGATCAGTACTCATAAAAGTATAGCTCACAAGACCCCCAAATGCATATGCTTTCAGTAGTCAGACAGAAGACATAATTAACCCAAAGTAAAGACACTTACTGAAATAGTAGTAAGAAGAGTAGTTAAAAAACTTCTCTTCAATAAAATTGGAGCACGTTCTCAAAGAGAAATGGGAAGGGTGAATAACTATTTATTTGAGTGTTAGAGTTCACAAAGAGAGAAACATACATGTAGGGAATACTTAACCAAGACAGCTCACATGATTTCAGCACTGTAGGAGCATACTATCTTTTCATAGTATCCTCATACTGTTATTCCTGGGCACACTGTCTTTACTGGGCAGGTCCCTTGATGGGCTTTCTGGATGTGCCACTCTATAGCTGGTCTCTCTGAAGAGACCATCTGTTGGGCACAGCATCTCTTACAGATACAGCTGAT